AGGAGGTCACAGAGGCAGGTAGAGGGAAGCCAAAAAGGTGGCTTGACCCTAAAAGTGGTTTGTGGAGATTTCCCCTTCCTACTGCCTTCTGAACCAGAACACAGTTCTCCTGGGCAGGAACCCCCTTACACACACAGAGGTGGCTGTTTGCCTGCCAGCCCTCACTGAATAAGATGGTAAAGGGCCTTTGGGTGCCTCCTCTCTGAACGTAAAAGAAAAACCAAGATGAGCAGCTCTAAATAAAGACATGCACAGAAATCAAAATGAAATTAGGAATTGCCAGCTTTGCAGGCCTATTTTCACCCCATCAGCATCTTCTGATATGTGGTTGGTTGGTTTCTTTAGGTCTCATAAATTTCGTGCCTTGAGCGCTTCCTTCACAGTGTTGAATCACCCCCTTGCTTCAGTCATCATCTGTGCAGAGACACTTCTGCTCCAAGTGCAGGGACTCAGTAAAAACAATGTGCCTTTCACAGTAACTTCATCCCATGGTCACTGATAGAACAGCAGATTCTGCAAGCCAAGCATCAGGACATATGATCTGATGGTAAACTTGAACCTAGAGCACAACAAAGCATAATTTTGAAGCCATAGTGAACAAGAAAAAAATTAGAGGTAATCACCGTAGTCATGGAAACCTTCATGAAGGTGTGTTGACCACACTCCATATCCTTGCCCAGAGAACAAGGCAAAAGAGGCAATTTCCCTTCTATTTTCAGAAACTGTTACAGTCAATTGAGATCTAATTCAACCACTAGCAACTTCCTTCTCCAAGAATGCATTAAATAAGGAGAATCGTAATTTAGCTTTTTTTCCATGGCTAGGTCATGTCTTTCTGAACAGATCGTAAGCCCTTCAGACAGTAGGAATTCTGTGTGTGCACTGGTCATGTTTGCAGCAAGCCCTAGATTTTGCACATGAAGGTTGCTCAGCAAATGCTTTGTACTGATGCTGTAGGCCGCAGCACATGTGGGAGCCAGTGGTGCCCGTAGGTGCCACTTAAAAACATTAATGAGGAAGATAAACAGAAGTCACTGAGAGAAATGTGCTACAGAAGGACTTTAAGACTAAGATAAGAAGAAAAGGAAGAGAGGTCAGTACCACGTCAGTGTCAGCCACAATTATCTATCCATGGTCAGTGGCACCAGGAATTACATCATCTGCCCTGCTCCACAGGAAGTCGCCAAATGTGTTGCTATAATTTCTAATCACAAAGTGATCTGTTTTCTTTTTAAAGTAGCAAGAGGGTAAAAGAGAGTGTAAGATCTACAAAAAGAGCTAAGCTGGTGAGTCGTTAGATTGACCTTGATCAGAAAAAGAGATTTAGCATTTTAAAACATACATGGCAGCTTATTCTATCATTATACGCTTATTTACCCTGTCATAGAGGAAAATGATTAAAATCTCAATATCCCTTCACAAACATGAAGAAAGAAGGGCGTTTACTGTATTCAGCCTCGGTACAGTTGGTTAACCTCTCAGAAAATATAGGTGCTTTCCACTATGATGAAAATAATCCACTTAAAGTTTAGTAAATATCACTTTGTGTATGCATAACTTAAAGAAATTACCATTAGTTACATCATTAAGCTTAATTCATCATTGGTGGCCTTAAAACACTTCATCTTCTCTGCTTATCCTCAAGTAGCATCATCTTACAGAAAATGTTACTCACATATTAAGATAATTATTGAATACTGGATTAAAATAGTCCTACATTTTAGAGTAAATGTGTATAATTCATGTTCCCAGCACTTGCCAGTTTCATATTTCATTGAACACAAAATATCTATCCAAGGCCCAGCTGCTTCAAGGGGGAAAGTCTGAAGTATCATCTCTGCTACTTTACTCGCTGAGATCCTATTTTGTCTAATCCCAAAATTTATTGTGTAACTCTAATCCTACTGGTTATCCCTTTTGTTTTGGCTTGTTTTCTATACTTATTTCTTTATCATAGTGCCACCAATGGAGCCGGGGGCCTGTCTCACACTCAGCAAGCACTCTACCACTCAGCAGTTCCTTGGCTTTCTTTCTACTTTCCAGTCCATATTTGAGAAGCAGAACTGTCTTCCATGACGCCTGGCTTTCTCATAAATTTCCTTGTAGCATAGCTTTGCTGAAGACACATATTTAGTCTTCCTGAATCCTTTCCTGCACAGTCTACTGTTCTGACCATAAGTTCATACAAAATTGTCCCAGGTTTTCCTTCTTTGATAACATCTCTTCAGTGGAAGAGATTTTATTTATATGCTTTTCCTGATCCATATCTCTAAGGAGTCTTGAATTCCTTTTTGGGTCTTCAGATGTCCATTTCTTTCTCTCCTCTAGGCACACCACCTTTGGATAGACATTCTATGGTCATCAGCCCAGGAAAAACTCCCAAGACTTTAACTTCCAGCCAAGTAGAACTTGAGAGGTGTGATATTGTTCAGAGGCTGTGGAAAGTCAGAAGTAGAAAGCTAAAGGATGCAAAAGGGCTACTCATCTGCCTGCTGTCTACTCTGCCTCACTCTGAAAACCACTGGTCCCTAGAATGCATGAGAAGTAGTCCCTCCCACCGCCTGTGTGGCCATACTGACCTATTTCCAATGAATAGATGCTACTGGCATCACAGAATGGACCACCTCAGGAAACTCGCATCCATGCATTGTCGCTGAATAAATATTTGCTGTGTTCTCATCAATAGATAGTCATACTTCAGTAGAATCTGGGTAAATGAAATGAGTCCTTGCCTTCATCATTAGTAGACTAACCAATTTCAAAAGGCTCCAATAATTAAAAACTCCCACCAGTGGTCTTGAGGTATTCATCAAAAAAGTGAGAGCTAACACTTGTCTAGAACACACAGGCATGAGATTCAGTCCTCAGCACAACCAAAAAGTGGGAGAAGAGGTGAGGAAGCGGGGAGCTTCATAGGGCAGAACGGAGATGGTCAGCACTACCATGCAGCCACAAATGCAGCATGTCCCATGGAAAGGGCAAGCCCTGACCTCTCAAAAGTCCGTGTCTTTCTTCCTGAGGCCAAGTGTAGACATTTTATCCTATTTTATATGTTCATTAGCCATTTATCTTTCCCTCTTTGAAAATGTGAAATGACATTTGTGAATTGGCTTTCCAGTACACTGGCTAAAATGACAACTTTTATATTGTTGAAAGCTTCAAATTTTTAACACAGGCTGTCAGGATGACCTCAGTCAGCTCCTAAAGAGCACACTGTATTAGAATCCAAAGAAAATACAATCCCCTGCTGGAACTACAGCCTATTTCCAGAGCTTGAGGACAACCTGAGCTCAAATGTGAAGTCATGGTGAATTCCCACTGAATGAATCTGCAGGAACAGCCCCTCCTTCAGGCTGAGCTGAGCTTTAGGTTTACTCACACCCTCAGGACCAAGAGCCTTTCTTTTGCCGTTCTGCTATCACTTATGAACATTTTACCAAAAACCTTTAACCAGTATGTTAGCCTTCCTTCACCTTGACAAAATAACTGAGAAAATCAACTTAATAAAGGAAAGAGTTTATTTTTGACTTATGGTCTTGCAGTTTTGAGGGATAGGTAAAATGACAGCTCATTAACGCTGTAGCTTTTGATCTGTGGTGGGGTAGCACAACATGGCAAAAGTGAAAACAAGAAGAGACCTGTTCGGCTGGTAATTAAAAAGAGCGAGAGAGAAGGGTCAGGATCCCATTATCTCCCGATACCTAACTTCCTCACAATAAGCTCCATCTAGCAAAGTTTCCATGCCCTACGAACAGCACAACAGACTAACAACCAGACCCTGACACACTGGCCTTTGGGGGATATTTAAGATACAAACCACAGCAACTAGGAAGATGTCATGAGACTCAGCCAATTGAAACTTACTTGTTCTTCACGCACTCTTGGTTTTAGAGGACACTTGGCTCTCTGTGGACAGAAATACACGGGTGGCTTTCTCTACACCTTTGATTTATTTGTCCTGCCCTCTTTCAGCTGAATAATATGTGGGCTGGTTTGGGTACTATCATTCCTCCTACAAAATTCCGAACACGAAGTGTGACCGACTATATAAGATAAATCCTAAAGATTTAATGTGCCATGGGATTCTTGCTTTTCAATTCCCACTTGTGGAATGTTTACCATGTGCCTCAGGTAATTGCTTATTACTAGGTAGAAAGATATAAAAGTGACAGAGTTGAACCAGACTGTGAGGAACTTGATCTGGAAGAGACAGAAACAAGCAATTGTGTGGGTTCTAGGGAGAGCCTGTGAGATGCCATGAAATCACAAAACTGTAACTAATACTCTGCCATGGGTATCAGGAAAGGCTTTCCACAGAAATCTAGTCCTTTGGATATGCTGTGTTTATGATTAACATATAAAGAACTGAGGCTGGAGAGATGGCTCAGTGGTTAAGAGCATCACTACTCTTGAAGAGGACCCAAGCCAGGTCAATTCCCAGTACCCATATCAGGAGACTCACAAGCACTATAACTCCAGCTCCAGGGGATCCAGCACACATGCGCACATACCCATACACGTAACTAAAAATAATAAAATAAATCTTTTTAAAATTGTGTAAAGAACGAAATCACAAAAGCAAGCGAAAGATGCATTTAGTTACTGTAATCATGAAGGAAGACACAATTACCATGTCAAAAAAACTTTAAAGTCATTTAAGCTCATTGTCTGGTGGTGCTGATGTGTGAGGCTGAGGCAGGAGGACTGAGTGTTCCAGCCTGCCCTACGGAGCAAGAATCAGTCTCGGAAAACAAAACAACAAAATTGCATTTCATAGTTTCTTTTCCAGTTGGCTACCTTTTAACCCCTACCTTCTTCCAATTTGGGAAGGAGCCTTCCACCCTTACAAAGCTGAGAGACTTTTCCAGCAATACATTAAAAGATGATTTTATGAACAGCCTTAAGTCCACCAGAAAACCAATAGCATCATGTAGCACCAAGAAAACAGCAGTATATATGTGCTAAGATGCTAACTTCCCCCGTTATTTTTCATCCCTCAGGTCTTTGCCCAAGGCGGGTCTGGAACCGGGTTCCCATGACCCTGACGATTGCTTCCGGTCCGCAATGAAAGGTTTATCAGGCAGCCGCAGCCACCACCACGGGATCACCTGTGAGTCTGCCTGTGACTCTCTCTCTCACCACTCGGATCACAAGCCGTACCTGCTGAGCCCGGTGGACCACCACCCCGCGGACCATCCTTACTACACCCAGCGGAACTCCTTCCAGGCCGAGTGCGTGGGGCCCTTCAGCGACCCGCTGGCCAGCAGCACCTTCCCACGGAGGCACTATACCTCACAGCAGGAGCTGAAGGACGAGTGCACCCTGGTGCCCCGCACGCTGGCCACCAAGGCGAATCGTATCCCTGCCAACCTGCTGGACCAGTTCGAGAGGCAGCTGCCCCTCAACCGGGATGGCTACCACACGCTTCAGTACAAGCGCACGGCGGTGGAGCATCGCAGCGACAGCCCAGGCCGCATCCGGCACCTGGTCCATTCGGTCCAGAAGCTCTTCACCAAGTCTCACTCCCTGGAAGGGCCGTCCAAGGGCAGCGTCAACGGAGGCAAGGCTAGCCCTGATGAGACGCAAACTGTGAGGTACGGCAAACGCAGCAAGAGCAAGGAGCGGCGGGCAGAGTCCAAGGCTCGATCCAATGCCTCCAACGCCTCCCCCACCTCTCCGGGCTGGTGGAGTTCAGACGACAACCTGGACGGCGACATGTGCATCTACCACGCACCCTCAGGCGTGATGACCATGGGCAGGTGCCCTGACCGTTCTGCCTCACAGTACTTCATGGAAGCCTACAACACCATCAGTGAGCAGGCGGTGAAGGCCTCCCGGAGTAACAATGACATCAAATGCTCCACCTGCGCCAACTTGCCGGTGAACCTGGATGCCCCGCTCCTGAAGAAGAGTGCCTGGTCCTCCACTCTCACAGTGAGCAGAGCCCGAGAGGTTTATCAGAAAGCTTCAGTGAACATGGATCAAGCCATGGTTAAGTCCGAGTCGTGTCAGCAAGAACGCTCCTGCCAGTATCTACAGGTACCACTTGGTTAAATGATGGATGCTTTGAACTTGTTCCTGGCTTAATCATTGTCTGGTCTTTGCTCTTGGGATCTAGTCTTGGCTGTACTCTGAATTATCTATATGAACTTGAGCAAATGATTTAGTATTTCAGTGACTAACTGCCTCTATCAGGAAAATACAAGGAAGCTAGTGCTAATAACTTCACCCAGTTCACTTCATATACCAGATAGAGTGCTTTCAAAGGTGCTACCCAAAGGCAAGAGTCATATCCTGAGTTCCTCTTTTATCCGAGGGATCATGGGTAGGAAGGAAAAGAGTCCACACAGAATTTTTAAATAAACCCACCTTTTATCAAAAGTAAATAATAATCCCAATTTTGGAAAGAGTTCAGTTAGATCTATGCCATTTTTTTAGATAACTTTTTTTTAACTGAGCTTTTTAAATTTCATACATTTCCCACTCAAATCCAGACCGCTTCCCCCATCCATGCCACTCCCATCCCCCCACCGAACCCTATGCGCTCTGCCATACATGCTAAGTCCTATTCATTCGGGTGTTTGTACCCAAATGTCCTTCAGTGTAAATGTGTCCTCTGGAGTCCAGTCAGCCCATCCAGTGGTTGTGTGTAAGTCATACTCTCTCTCACCCAGCAGCAGTCTCAAAGAGTTCTCAGTCCAGTGCTGGCCTGCCACTTATGTCTCACCTCCCCTTTGGGCCCTTGTTTAACTAAGCTGACATGGGTCCTGTCCTGGACGCCATCTATGCCATTTTTTATAGGAAAAATACTCCTGAAACTATTGCTTCATGAAAATTGATCTACCTCTTCATCATTGCAATGATCATCACCATCACCAATATGAACCACACACCACCAACCTCACCCCACTCAGAGCAGGGTGATACCCTGAGGAGGCAGAGATGGAGGCAGGTTGGAGACCTGATAAGCACAGCTGCAGAGGTCCAGGACAACAGAGAAGAGGAGGAGAAAAAGGAAGCATCCGTGCAATAAAATACAGTTAGTGTCAGTGTGTAAATCCTACACACATACACCAAGGCAGGCTGCTCTCCCCTTTCTGTGTCTGTTCATGTTTTCCCTTCTGCCTCCAGTTCACTTAAACCAGATTCCACTTGGATAAAAATATCAGGAGGGGGTGCTTTTCCTTCCCTCTTTTCTCCTTCAGTATCATTTTTCCTAAGATGCAATGCTCCACATAAAAACCCTCATATTTTTCCCCTTTGAGAGCATTTTTGTTCTCTGCGCTCTCCTGCTTTTAAAGGTTTTTTTTTACTAGACTATAAAAGTGTGGCATAATTATTTCTATTCCCACCTTCAGAAGAAAGGAAAGGAAAAATTCTTCCACTGAGAAGTCAATGTTTTTGCCCTCTTTAAACTGTCCCTGACAAATTAGCTTCTTTGGGAGTACCTCTCCCAAGTCCTGAGAATGTTCTAGGCTGGCAGTCCTGGGCAAGAAGAGCTAGAGCCCATGCCCAAAGTTCAGAAGAAGCCACCAGCAGGTAGATTATTTCCACAAAGTCATAAATGTGTGTTCAATTACCTAGTTTACTGAAATAGGTAGTACTGCTAAAGTAGGTAGTACTGGGGTTACCTAGTTTTCTGTCACATTGAAATATATATATAATCATAAACAACTCTTATTAAAAGGTTCGTCTAATTCATTTAGTGTAGGGAAAAAGTGAACTCGGAAAACACACAGGCTTAGTGGTTACATTGTTGGCATGTGGTAGCAATGGGACTAGAGCCCAAATCCCTTAAAAAGATGGTCATTCTGAGGGCTGAAACTGAAGGATTTAGAAATGACTTAAGAACATAAACTGTGTCCATTATTGAAAGCAAAGTACTTTGAGAAATAGTAATTGTCTGGAAGAAAGAGATAGAGAGCCCAGAAATAGGCACTATTACTAGTGACAAAAAAAATGATTTTTTAAAGCCTATACTATAGTAAGTCCTAGTGAGATATAAGGAACAAGAAGTATCAAATTTTAAAAAATGATCCTGGAGCCAGGCATGTGGCACTCGCCTTTAACCCCAACACTTGGGAGGCAGAGGCAGGCAGATATCTGTGGGTTCAAGGCCAGTCTGGTCTACATAGTGAGTTACAAAAAAAAAAAAGGATACTGGGGCTGGAAAGATGGCTCAGTGATTAGCACTGGCTGTTCTTGCAGAGGACCTGGGACCTACAAAGAAGCTTACAACTGTTTGTAACTCCAGTTCCAAGGGATCCAACACCCTTTTCTGGCCTCCACAGGCACCGCATACACATGGTATACTTATATGCATGCAGGCAAAAGACTCATACACAAAAAATAAAAGTAAGTAAATAAATAAATTTCTTTTTGTGGAAAGCGTACTGTTCATGGATCTAGCCACAACCATTTTTAATAATAAAATTCTCAATTGTACTTATATAATAACTTAGGTTCCTCCTGTCTGAAATTTATTTTTTTTTCCTTCTTATGCCTTTTAACGTCATTCTCAAATGGAAATGAAGTATTTAAGATTTTAAAAAAAGGAAAATCAATATTAATTGGAAATCAATTATGAATCAAATGCTGTGACAAACATGTTTCATCTTCATAATAATCCTGAAAGCTGAATGTGATGAGACTGTTTTATAAGAGAGAAAAGTGCAGGTTTGCAATATCAAGGGAGTTTAAGCCCCATGCCCTGGAGATTGTAGAAATGAAATTCAGGCTTATTCCTGTTTCATACCAATGCTAAGGAAAGAGGTAGGGAAGGACAAAACAAAATCTTCAAAATAAACAATATTTTCAGTAAGATCAGAATGAAATCTTGAAAACTTTAAGTATAGGATTTAGTACAGAGTGGATTTCATATTGTAAAGTTAGGAACTTCTATTTTCAAATTATTTATCTTCCTTAAACTAGTTTTTTAAATAAAATATTTGAGAAAGGTATTAAGAAAAGTGAAATATAATACCCAACTAGAGAAATAAAACACCAATTATATTTCTCCATAGAGTAATTGTCAGAGTCATTGTTTTCAATCCTGGAATTACTGAAAAGTTATAAAAATTAATATTATCCTACATTGGGCAATAACCCTGAGCCATGTTTATTTAACCCTTCAAATATACCTGAACTGTAAGTTAATGAACATTGACATTTACTGAGTTTCTATTCCATACATGGCATTCAAGTTTAAAATATAATGCTAATTCTGTATTTCAAAGTGAGGAGGGCATGTTAGTACATAACAAACATGGAGGTCTGTGACCTCTTCCCCCACCCCATGTGCTGAGGTTGGAAATCTCCTGTAAAGGGAGGGGAGACCTGAACATTCATGTGGACACACAGAATGGAAAACCACTGCTAAGATTTGGGTCCCAGCTTTTCTCTTATTTTTTAAAAAAATAGAATCTGCCATCCTATAGAAAATCTTCCCAGAAAATGCAATTAACCAGCTCCCATCAGCTCTTGTGGGATAATTTCATTTATAAACTCACCCCTAGAACCAAATTTGAAGAAACAGAATTGTTTCTCTCTCTTCTCTCTCTCTCTCTCTCTCTCTCTCTCTCTCTCTCTCTCTCTGTATGTGGGGGGGGTAATATTACCTTAATTGCTAACTGATATTGAAGCTGGATTTACAAATGTGTTTATCAACATCAGGCTTCAGTTAGCAGACAAATCACTCTAGAAGTTGCACGAGGCTTCTACTCCCTATTTGTCACTAACAGTGACGTTGCCTGGAATCATCCTTCAACTTTAGGAGCCTCCTTCATCTCCTAGAAAATAAGGCACTTGGTTCTAGAAGACTATTCTCTCTGTGCACATTTTTAAACTCATAAATTACGTATTTCAGTGAACTAATTAGAGTAATTTTCAGGAGTTGGAAGGCCTGTGACTCTTATTTCCTAACTACCTACTAAAAACAGATGCTTTTCAAATGTTAGTTAATTTGCCCTTTAAAACTTTAGAGGCATTTCACAGAAAAAAAAAAAAAAAAAACAGATTTAGTAAATTATGTTGAATAACTTGACCAAGACACACACCCACATTTGGTGGGTCAGAAGTGGCTCATCTGCCTTTGAAGTCTTGAGTTCTTCGCATTGATCACACTCAGTCCCTTCCCTCTCCACGTACAGTGAGAGGAAGCCACCTACATTACATCTTTTATGTGCCAGAAATTATCCATATCTCATCAAGTACTCAGAACAACTTTTCAAAGGTATTATATTTGCTTTAAGTATATTTACAACTTTTCCTTGTACAACAAATTGGTTTCAATATATTTCCATCCATCTATATAACAAACTTTGATGAAATCCCCCCTTTTACCCTCTCTTACCCCTTCCCACTGTCTTCTGTTTCTTCCCAAATAGTCCTCCTTTAATTTAATTCTATAGCAAAACTGAAGCACAAATAAGGCTCAGAGCAGGTAGGACATCCAACAGTAGACTCCAGATCTGTTCAATTCTGTAACATGCTTCAGCTATGGAAGTAAATGCATGTTTTATTCTGTTATTTGTCTTTTTCTACACCAAACCTATGTGTGCATCTGACCTCCAATGTGTCCATGCCAGTAAGACAATGTGAATATGAAATTAGGCTACCAATGAGATACTGACAGGGTCCCTAATTTGATTCATGACTAAATTAATATTCGCCAATAATAGAATTTAAATACTAACAAATACCTGGTTGTCTTTGGAGAGTTGTCACTCAGAATCAATGTAATATACATCCTTGCCATGATTCTCTAAGAAAGGAGATCTGTATGTGTCTAACTTGTGCCTAACATAGACTTAGCAATTAAACACTATAGTTTGTAATCATTATCCATTCCAGTCAATACAGTCAGTTGGTTATATGTGCTCACTCACAAGCTGCTTTAGTTAATTGAAAAAAGATAGCCCTTTCCCCCAATATTGTTATTTTTAAATGTCAAGAATCAGATGTCTGCTGTTTAGAACTATTGTACCGCTGCCAGTGACTGTATCAGGGCTTGGAGGAAGAGCATGGATTTGAAGACATTA